GTGTGCATACCCAACGTTGCTGAATGAAAATTATCCGTAAATAAACGTGCAGAAAAACAAACCATGCGTGTGATTCATTTCAACCTTTTTATTTGTTTTAGCCTACAACCAAGACTGAATACATTTTGGGGTATAGTTCCACATATTCTTTGTTATGTTTAATAGCGCACTGATCCTTGAAATTTACAACGTCGTTTATTTGCTACTTTTGAACAGTGGATAATGTTTGTTCGTTGGTGGCAAATACATTATTTAGACATGGTTATTACATGTATTCGTATATGTCATCGATTGTGAAGTGCATCAACGATAAGTTTGAGTACGTTTAAATCTTTATGTTGTCAAAGTATTGTGGACTAATCTTTTAACACAAGCATATTAGTAGTTTGCGTAAGTAAAGCACAGGCAGACCAATGTCATTGCTCTTTGTTAGCTTCAGTTTGAAGAATTTTGGGTAACGGAAATGGTTCCACCATCAATATTCGTTCGGGATTCGAACGCTGGGTCAGTACTACGTATACTACGTTTTCCTTACTTTCCCTATCTCTGTCAGAGAGGATTCGATTTCACAGGATCAATGCCCTTATCACAGCGTTATTCATTTAATCAAAGTAATAGTTTTCAAATATAATCTGGTAAAAATAATACTGCTCCATAAAGAGATTCAGTCAGTTTGTATTCCATAGGACGGTTGACGTAAAAAAGTTAACTGACCTTTGCTCCTTTGTGAATGAAGTTTAGTCCAGTTCAAACAATATTTGTTCGTTATTGAAAGATAAATAATTAAGACGGTGAATTTTGGAGTTCATTGCGATGATAGCAGCCGCCTCAGAGGGAGTGTACGGAAACGCCTCGATGGAGTGACACCAGACGGAGTTAGATTCACATAGTTTGACTCATCACCTGAATTCGAGAAATGTATGTTGGGAAAAAGACGTCAATATTCTGCCTGATGATGAAGTTAACTATTTATGTGCGCCTTTCAAGTGACCTTACTGACGCGCATTGAATAATGCAACGATCAGCGGTAAATTAGACTGCAAGGTTAAAGTCTGAAAAGGAATTTAAACTACGTTTTCCAAATTCTTTTCTGATTTTTAACTGTTATGAATGTTGAGATAACTTGAATTATTTCCTGTTCTACGCCATTGGGTTTGAAAAAAAAAACTTAATTTGTTGTCGTTTAAAGGAAAGTTATTCTTTTGCAACTGGCTGCATTAGTCCTCAGTGTATGTTAAAGGAGTGTTGGGACATTTAAAGGCAATGATTCGGTGATGAAGACATTATTAAAACACCAATGAAGATATATTGGGTCTTTAAAGGGTGCACGAAAATCTTTGCAGTTTTCTAATCAGACTAACGGAGAGACATTCATTTTTTGACCAATACGAAAAAAAGACAACATACATCGCTGTTTTCAAACAGTCTGCATCAAAAGTCGCTGTGGGATCTTAAATATTGCATTTAATGGCTATTGGGTTTTCCAAGAGTTTCTAATTCGCTACTAGATGTCATTTGTTTTATTTACCTTAATTTTTCAAATTTATAGGATCTTGAAAAAGCTTTGTTAAAACTTAAAGTAAATAATTGCAAGTACTGTCAGAATTTATAACAGTTAAATATCACTTACCGACGTTTGTAAAGTCGAATAGGTCATACATGATTCTAAGGCTGAGTCTGTAGCATAAAACATTTGAAAATGAATCAGTAGGTTTCTTTTTATTTATTTGGTGAAATGCAGATTTATAATTAGATCAGAGACAGAGCCTCTTGCTCAAGTGAAGGGGTGACTCAGTATATGCGTTTACCATAATAACTTAGCTTCATTTTTGAATTTAACCTTCATGCAACATTGAGTTGTGAAATTCGATAATGTGTAATTAAACCTTTTTAAATATGTTGCATCGTTTATTTATACTTTACCTTTGTTCCGACAGTTTCGGATACATGTGAAGCTAAATTGCTAGCCCATACGTGATAGAAGAACTGTGTAGAAGCATTGTTATACTCAAGAATCCCCGCCACATTTTTTACGTAGTCTTCTTGATCGGCATTATAAATCAATGTGTTCTAATGAAGACAGAAAATTAATTGAGCAGTTTATGAGTGAGACGTGATAGTTAAGTTGTCGAAACATTAATTCAAAAGATGTGTAATCATCATCGCATTAGACTTTTCTTTTATTCATTGTTAGAATTTATTAGGCAATTATTATTCCTATGACACGAGACATGCACAATATGGATGATATCCTCGTCTTAACATTTTAAAATACTTATAATTGGATTTGATCTAATTTATTTTTGCATGTCATCAATGTTAATGTACATTTATTTTTTTATCATTATAACCAGCATACATCTGCTTAATAACCGGCAGCCTTAGGTTTAGAGATTGTCATACTGTTCACATAATGTTGACTTTTGGATTGTTTGACTGCTTAGACGACGGATTTGGAGTAGTAAGTTAGGTTGGAAAGGGAGAAAGAAGCAATAAAGGAAGAGAAAGAAATCATCACAATTAGAGCAAACACAAACAGAAGGGACAAAGAAAGGCTTGATCGACCGATTGGGAAGGTGAAAAACAGAACGAGTTAATAATCAATTTCATTCTCTTTGAACGTATTAGACACGTATTAAGAAAGTATGCACCTGTTATAAGGAACCCAATTTACCACCACATACTATAATTATAATTACAAGGAAAATGCTGACAAAATTCCTTTTATTTAAAAACTGCAAACGATAACACGTATTAAACCCAAAAACGTTACATATACACTATACCATTATGAACTAAGTTATATAACATATAATTTAACTGGCAATTGAAAAATAGCTACTTCGGTAAGTGTAACAAATGGTTCTATGTCTGTCACGCTTTTAATCTCATTAAGATAAGTTTTTTTGTACACGCGCTCTACGACATCATAATATTTGCAACCTAATGTATACATGCATACGTGCACACACTGTCTCATGGACACACACACATACAAACATACATACTGAAATCCACAAGTTTTTAGTTGCTAATGATCTGAAAAATATGGATCTCTTTTAAAAATAAACGCACGTACTGAAGTTGAAAGAGAAATCTGACATAGAAGTTTGATATTAAAATGAAATGTCAATAATTAGAGTGTTATGCTTTACTCAATCAGTGATAGTAATGTCATAATACTGCATTTTAAAATTTAGTCGCTTATGTCTTTTTGATCCATTGCAAACGTCATGGCCATGCAGGATTTCTGAACAGCTACATGTCTCCCTGTTCGGTTTTAGTTCTGTTGTACAAATTGGCTATTTCAATCACTGTAGTTATGAACGTTCAACCACGTAAAAAGGTGAATATACGCAACTAATGGATTTTCTCATTATTGATTTTGATTTGAAATGGTGTAATGTTAGGCTACCACATTTCATTATTTGTGACTTCTGACCGAAGGTATTCTACTTGTTCCGTTATGCAATATCCTTCCCAATTTTGTTTTTGTGCTGAGTCCGTTACATTATAACAAAAATGCAAACCCGAATGCATACAACGTTCGAGAAGCAATTACTTATCTACCTCCATTATCTACCTCCATTATATATAATGCGTATCAACATGTACTTAATATATAGGCTAACTTCATTGGTTTTGATGCAATGAGCAACAGAGCCTTGTTACAGTGAACACAAATCCAAGAGATATTAAAGAAGACAGAGGTGAAATGTATTTAAACTTAAATTTCATATATTCTTTTTTCCCTAATATGTGCATGCCAAACTCATAACTGGTAGGTCAAGTTTGAAATCAATGCAAAATAGTAGGCAACAAATATTAGACATATACAATATTTTATATTGGAAGAAAGCCAGTCTTAAACTAAAATATGCATGCTGTCCCATGAATGAAAACCTTGAAGCCAAGAACAACCAGACCTACATTAAATTGGTGACAGTTATAATGTAAGAATAAGTTGTTCGCATGAAGAGAATTACTCTTTTAATTAAATTAAAAAACGAAACGAAAACATTCTTATTTGAATAGGGTTGTATTGAGATTGTGATTTAGCATACCAGATGTAATGACTTCATATGTGACTTCCAAAGGTGATATGAATAATATAAGTATGGAATGGGATTGTTAGCATTCGAGTCAAGTGTTGAAATCTAATATCTAAATTAATTAAAATTTGTCGAGGTCCATCTACCAGCTTGTAGACACGTGTTGGGTTCAGATCTCCTTTCTCAAATTGACAATTTTGACACTGATAGGTGTTGTTCTGCCCTATCCCACTGCTGCCATTTCGATTATCGCCCCTGATTTCGATGAGGACTTTTACATACTTTTCAAATATGAAAGTACTCCGTGAATACTGACATTCTGTAAGAGCTTTCCAACGTTACACACGTATGAGGTACATTAATGGCATTCAAAATGGGGACGTCAGAGGATCGTATTTCAACCCCAGTATGGGGGTAATTGACAAAGGAATTATGGTTCTTGTGCGTTAATGCGTGGAATTTGAAACTCATTCTAAGGATTAAGAAATGAGCTTAATTGTTATATTAATATATAAAGTTATACTATGACGCTTACCATCAGACTAAGTATTAAAAAAAAACGTGATTGACGTAAACATGTGCATTAGTTTGTTGCGGTACATGAAGCCTGTTATAGGAATGCACACTAGAACAGAAAATATCTTAACATTTATTGTTTTTAGTACCTACTTGTCACAATTTATAATTAAACCATCATCTTTGGTGTGTGTTGATGTTTATGATTTTTAACGTACCTTTTAACAATATTTAAGTCATATCGCTACGATGTCTGCAGTGTGGCAGTTTATATTGATGTCTAGCACTGGTGTATCATGCCACAGACATGTAGCATGATGTCCCACCCAGTCACAATATCCTGACACCATGCCGACCAGTACTAACACTAACCTCTTAATGCTGAGCGTCAAGCGAGGCAGCTGTTAGTACCATTTTTGTAAGTCTTTGGTATGACTTGACCGGGGATCGAACCCACGACCTCCCGCATCCGAGGCGGACGCTCTAACCACTAGGCTACCGGAGCGGTTGATCTTTATAATTTAGAAAAGGAACAAATTAGGATATACAATTTAACACTGAAAAAAATTGTCAAAATATTTGTACCTATCTCTCTCTCTCTCTCTCTCTCTCTCTCTCTCTCTCTCTCTCTCTCTCTCGCTACCATACCATAGACGGCAAACTATGTCGTGTCAATTCGGAGAAACTTAATGCGTACAATATTAGAAGCACAAAGTGGTCATAGTTTAGTACATTTTACACGCACATGCAAATGTTTAACTTGTCAATACGCAATCTTCAAACTCATTTTACTCCACAAAAGTAGATGCACTTTAAAGAAGATATCAACAAACATGATCATTTTGTTATAACTGGTGAATGCAGCTAATTTAACATTCTTGAAAACACTGATCCATATGTCATTTTGAGGACCATATTCTGGGACCGAAAAATGTATCTTTTATCACTCTGTCTTAATATCTACTATCATGACTACATTGAGAAGTTGACTTGAGAGATTCTTTGAATGCAATGGTTAAATGAGCTATAAAGAAATGGTTGCCCATCTGTATCTATTTTGGACTGCATTTTATCTGTTTTAGAACTGCTAGTATGTTTGCCATTTGGATTATATTTTTCTCGTATTAAATCAGCCATTTTAATACAATGTGCGCTTGGCACATTTAGGATTTCCACTACTTAAACATAATAAAAACATTATATCACAATACATAAAAGCAGAATAATTATATGCTACGTAGAAATCTACCTGTTTTGCTAAAGTTACTAATTTTATCTTAGTTTGGTGATCTCAGTCAGATCGACTCAGTCAAGGTGGCTACGTGCTAGGGACTATTTTATAAAAAGGAAACCCTTGTTATTTTCCACCGAAACAACAGAAATGTAACGAAACGAAATTAATTAATAAAGCAACCGAAGTTTTATACAATGTTGATACTGCAGCATACAAACATTTTTGGAGAGGCAGACATACACAAACACACGCAGAGGAACTATTTCCTATTACGCTAGGAACTATAAATCGTTCCACACGGCATGGCGAATCTATTCCTATCTGTAACGTAGAAAATTGTCAGGTCAGCGTATTTAACTGTAGCAAACAGTACCTAATTAGTTTTAAACACTTAATGTAAAACGAATTAGGTACGTGTAGCTATATGTAATGACGATGACCTGAAAATGAAGCAATTACTATCCTTATTAGATAGGTCACCCATTGCCCTCGTTACAAGATTCATATTAATGCACGCTATTTACACAATAATAGCACCTGGCTCCAGACGATCACTATTCAATATTTCCAACAGGTAACAATTATAACTGGTTACTTATTATTTGTATTTTTATAAGAGGCATATAGGTAACATCTGCTTACATATATTTCATATTTCATAAAAGATGACAAGATATGATGTTATTTATATAGAATGGGAGGCATAATATTGCCAAATGAATGTTTTGAAAATGCCAATTATGTTACAAAAATGCAGGGTTATTTTAATTTAATTGGAAAGAAATTAGATGACAAAACTAATTTGTCAGTGTTTGTACAAAGAAAGGAAATTCCATTTGCGGGATTACATGATTTGTCTCCCCTCTACTACGACATCTTTGTCTCGGTGCAAATACCAATATAGATTTTCTAATTCGCTGTTATGCACATATGGAAACAACTTCGTTTGAACCCTGTCATTCTGTCAGATTTTTGTAATAAATTCAGAAAGCAAACTATATGTAGATTTAACAGTTTGCCCAGATATTATGACTGAAAAAACAAACAGTTCAAATCATTCGTATCTTCTCGGTCACTCAAGTGTTGTACATAACCAAGTAGTCCGAATATCATATATCCAAATAAAATCACAGTACAATTCATATAATTGACTACATTAGATCATTTAAAGAAAATGTATCTAAATATATGCAAAATACAAATAGTTCATCAAAAGAAACTAGAATTAAGATTATAATAGAAAATGGACCTACTCATTATTACAAATTAGATTTCTGGAGAAACAAAAGAAAAACAATAGTATAATATATGATTTAAAACATTATTCGCTGAAAATGTAGGATTATTGCATTTTTATATTAATAAACTACCATAAAATTGAATCAAGGTCGCGAAATTATTGCGACATTGTATAGATTGTGACATTTTATAGAAGTTGAAAAAAATACTGATTGAAAATTAAGCTCTAATGAATTCAAGACAGAATGATCTATTTCAATATACGACTGTTTAAAGCTTAATCAAATTACAATATTCTACAAAAGTGTATAATATGGAATGAGCAACCTCGCTCCATTTATTTTTCGGTACATGGAATCCTTGTTAAGAGATCTGGAAGTATAGTCGTAATTTTGGCTTTTATTCAAAAACTTAGAAAATGAATAATTTTTCCTCATGTTGTGAACATGGTTCATAGGTAATTCAGTTCACTTAGCTTTCCAGCCTATTCCAAAATTTATACAAATTGTTTTAAAATACTTAGTAAATACACACCGTGGAAAGTGTAGCTTTGTTCATTTTGATAAATTAATTGATTAATAGTAGAATATACGTTTATATAATGCTATAAAATTCTCAATACTGTAAGAAATTTAAAACAATTTGGATAATATTAATAGATAAAGGAGAACAATTAAAATAATTTTCATCTTTGATTAGTTGGTATCTTATCTGTTTCCCAGCAACACATTTCTAAAAGATGCGACCAATGTCGAGATGCTGGGCCACCATAATATCCTTTTAGTGTTTCGATTTTAGATTGTTAAATATAGACAAAATTTCGCATGTATGAGTAACAAGGCCATGATAATGATTTGGAAGTAAAATCTGTGTTCCGTTGCATGGTGTTTTGTTTACAATTCAGCCTCTCAAAAAATGCAGATCAACCCTTGAATAAACTTCACCGTAACGTCATCATTGAATGTAGTTTAGATTAATGTATGATTTGTATTTATTGTCACACAGGGAGAGTTCAGTACTGAAAAACGAATGTAGAGAATATATAATAAAATTAATTGTGTTATACGGCCTGTCAGGGCATTACTGACTAATTTTTAAATAGATATAAATTCTTTTATTAATAATGATAGAGACATGAAATTTTCACTCATTGTGTATATGGACTTTAAAAATTAGAAAATATAATTAAAATTTAAAAAAAACAATTAAAATTTTTTAATATTTAAAAAAAAATGATATCAAATTTTTGGCAATAAATTCACATAGATAGTATCAGTTGGAGATGACACTTATTATTATTAGCAGTAATGTATTTCTATACCATATAAACGTTAAAATGGAGGATTGTTTGAAAGCTGTCTAGGTAAATCTCTTTAAATTCTGTGCCAGCACACAATAGTAATTGTTCAATATAGACAGGAACTGTAACAGCCAATAGATTTTATGGCCTATTGTCATATAGGGATCTAGAAACAAACGCATGGAAGAAAAATCATGTCTTCAGACTGGCATTAATGGTAAAGTTGAGAAGTCTGAATATTCAAAAGGAGCTCGATGCATCCCATTTATGCTACAATCGTTTGTGCTTAAATGTCGACCACCTAAGTTTAGAACCTCATTCCATTAACAATAATAGTGCTGCAAAAGTTATGGGTATTGCATTGGGCATGGTGGATTTACAGACTGTATGTCAAAGTTTAAATTGTAACATGGCAATAATCCAGGTATCATAATATTGGATAGATGGATGGCTGTGTTGAGTAAGAAGGAAGAAAGATAGAGTGTGGTCTTTATTTTAGTAGACCATGCTGGTGACAGTGCTGTCTTAAATTCATTCCTCCCTTATTCCTTCCTTTCATTCATTCATTCATTCATTCATTCATTCATTCATTCATTCATTCATTCATTCATTCATTCATTCATTCATTCATTCTCTCAACTAGTTATTTTATTTTAGAAATTGTTATGATTTATCTTTTGTATTTGGTAATTTATTTATTTGTTTCTTCATACTCAGAGAAAACTGTTTCGACCTCTCTATAGGTCTCATCAGGTGGTAGTAAGTAGCACAATGCGTATAACATGTATTGTGTTACCTACGGATTTCCCCACTACAGTTTTCCCTTCTGTACCATGTGTTTTTCAGGGTGTCTTTGAGTACTGTCATTTTGCATATGGAATTAAGACATTCCTTTCTATCTGCAGTGTCCATTGGCTCCTGCTAAGCTTATGCATATGAGTGATCGCCCTTGGTGTCTAGCAGTCCTTTGGAGTAGTCAGACTTCCTATATCTTTGTTGAGTCCTGTACCTCAGACGGGCATGTATCATGCTTCCTTGTCTGGCTAGAATACGTTGCCTGGTATGTGGACGCTTTTGATACAACGTATGATAACTACAGTCTTTATCCATTATCGTCAGTGATTTGAGATGTTTTGCTGAATGTTTCCATCCCAAGTGTTTCACTTTCGTTTTCAGTTATGATCCCAGGCTGTTATTGAGTCTGTGTATTGTTGAATGCACTCTGGCCTCAAAGTTTCTGGAATATTTCACATTTTTAGGTAATGAAACACTGATAGATCTGTTCACAGAATCATATTTCTGTGTGTTTGTGTTCAGTCGCAGTCCTTCTACAACATCACATGAGAGTTTCATTTTTAGAACTTCTAGCAGGATGTTCTTATCATCTTCTATCATGTTAAGATGAGTTGCTTGATGAGGGCCCAGGTATGCTAATCGCATCCACCAGCTGTTAGTACTTCCTCCCGCACAGACCTTTCAATGATGCCTACATTTTGAGCAGTCCCTTGAATAACAGCGCAGTGTGACCTCCATTACTTGGGGTAGTTGACATTTAATATTTGTAACATCACCACTGTCGTCCTCCATCAGTTGTTTGAAGATCAAACTGCAGCGTGCTTTAATGTCTTGGCTTTTCTGTTTAAGCTTTTTGCCTTATCTTGTTCTTTTTCCTGGAACCATGTTTTCACTAAATACAGCATAATTACAGCGTTTGAACTGTAAACGA